GCCGCCATGTGTGTTAAACCTGTAGAAACCAATAGTATTTCTAAAGTTCCTAAAATTTGATTTTTTTTTTCTTTCAGGAGCTGCAGAGCAAGAGCAAAGTATGTGCCAATGTGTTCTGTGGAGCCGGCAGAGAGTGTGCTGTTAATGAAAAGGGGGAGCCCAGCTGTCTGTGTATAGAGGTGAGTGCTGGCTCTGCAGAGACCAAGTGACATTACTGCCACACCGGAAAGGAGAAGGAATGTAAGAATTAAAAAAAAAAAAACTTCATTGTCATTCTCCCCCTGTCTTTCCAGAGCTGTAAGCCCCACAAGAGGTCAGTGTGTGGCAGCAATGGTAAGACCTACAGGAATCACTGTGAGCTCCACAGGGATGCTTGTCTTACTGGCTTGAAGATCCAGGTGGCCCACGATGGACACTGCCAGGGTAAGAGCAGCAGCGAATGACACCACAACACAAGATGTGACACCAGAGGGTCCAGTAGTAGCTGTTTTGGAGGTTCCACTTGTATCACACAATCTTTGTGTTAAAATGTTCTTTTTCTTCTCAAGTTTATTATCCAACATGAGTTTCTACTGACCCTAAATCATAACACAACCATTTATCATCAGTATTTGACTTGATATTGTAATAAGTAGAGAGTCAAAAGGCCAGTTTCGCACCCCTTTAAGTGGGGTCACCTGGTTTAAGTGATAATACTGTATGTAGCTAATTGAACTGATTCGTGTTATCTCTGAACTAGCCCATGGAACTGATATGTGAGGTGACTGGGTTGATAGTTGTAACCTTATGGAGCCACCCACGTTCCTGGCCTTGAATTATCTATTAATGCATCTAATAGTAGTCTCTTATCTTAAGTGAACTTTCACTTCTCACACTTGGTGATGTCACACTCTTTGTGCTCCCGCTGGGTTGAACATTGATCAGAGCTGTAGCAGAAAAGGCAGTTAGGGAAAATCTTTACAGACCTTTGGCCAAGTACTCAGTGACAGCCAAGTTTATTTCCTTTAATCTGAATCGAGTCAATGCTGTTTAATTCCTTTTTGTTTAAATAATCTTTTTCTCTTTTTTTAATCACCTCTTTAGAGAAGAAAACAGAGCAGGCAGCTGCCAGCCCAGGTGAGTTTGTGTTTGCATATATATATCTATATATATATAGATATATATATATCTATATATATATAGATATATGATTATACTGCATGTTCTAAGGACTTAAGGTGTTTTAGTGAGATAAGAAAAACTCCAAATTGAATTGTTTTTAGTGGCGTACACTTAAACTAAGTCTGATATTGAGATTTGGCGTTTTACTGTATGTCTGTGCAATAACTACATTTTATGGTCTAATGGAAAGGACATAATAAACATGGAAATACTGACGTATGCACAAAAGGACAGGGGTCAAATGTGAATTAGCTTGCAAGATAGATCGATCTGTTATCATTTGGATTATTTATTAAGGCCGTTGAAATGTTTCCGCCCCCTGCAGTGGTATGCTATGCTGCTGACCGCAATGAACTGAGGAGCCGCGTGATCCAGTGGCTGCAGACTGAGGTCGTCCCAGACGGCTGGTTTGTCAAGGGATCCAACTTCTCTGACATCCTGCTCAAATACTTCAAGGTGGGCTTCTTTTCTCTGTTGGCTTGCAAGAAAACAGAATGAACCTTGGTCTCAATTAATGGACACAAATGCTCCCACAGCAGTCTTTTTGCAGAATACCCTAGTTTATTTATCTTCGTGGGCCTCCTACAACCACCCTTATCCTTAAAGCTGCACCAGACTGTGTCTAATTGTTCATGTGACAGATCTTTCAAGCGTGTCAGCTGATGGATATAATTCAGTTTAATGAGGATCTCAGTCCTGCAGAGGAGGACTCCTGCCACTCTGTGAGCTAACATGAATGGCACTAAAGTAGAAGAGCAGATGGTTCTTTGAACAATTTGTTTAAACTGCAGTATTTATTTTTCTGCTCTTTCCCGTTTTAAAAATATTCTGCTCATTTTGAGAGTATGCTTAAGGCTAACTTTATATAGCCTCTCATTAATGTTTTCAGTTTATCTGTCGTCCATGAACACACCACAAGGTCATGTAATGGGCCTTGAGTGAAATGAAAGGTCCATCACCATTTCTGCTGACTACAGCTATTTTAAAGCCTCTGTTTGCACAGCAGACATTTTGACACGTCGTAGCATGAAACTCACATGTGTAATAATCGGCTGTAGAGCTGTCTACCTTTTCTCAAGTATAATGGAACTAGATGGCACTTGAATTGTGGTGCTCAAAGTGGCAAAAAAAAAAACACTTTGAACAGCAATGAATCTTTCCAGAAATAATAACCCGGTTACTCGAGGTATCCACAGCAGAGCTCTTTAATGTAGAAACTATTTTCTTTCTACCAAAATACTACTTTCTACCAACTAATAAGTTAACAAAATAAGTCCATGCTGTAAGTGGAACCGGTACTTGAGATACTCATGTCAAATTTATATCACTTAACATCAGAGCTACAGAAGGTTTTGAGGCTGCAAATTTACTAGCAGAGTAGACGGACCTGTCTATCAAGAACACCAGTGATTATTTTCAGTACACACATGCAGTTGACACAAATTGATTTTTTTGTATCAATCAAAAAGTTTAGTGTGACATTTCTTATTGTTCCTATTCTACCATACATACGTGTATGTAATGTATGTAACTGTGTCTTCCCCGTGTCTGTCCATGTTTCTGCAGTCGTATGACAATGGTGATGCTCAGCTGGACTCCTCAGAGCTTCTCAAATTCATCCAGCAAAATGAGTCGGTTGTGGAGTTGCAGTCCTATGCAGACCAGGAGAGCAACAAGCTGCTCCGGTCAGTGTGTCTCTGGGTGTGCATGCTTAAGTGAATGTGTATTAGTATTATTAATATTTCCATTCTCTTTTGTTTTATCACTATTTCACAAACTGTAGTATTCCATTTGCTTCTGTGGTAATGTTTGCACATACAGATCTCTATCTATGTGCTGCAGTGCTATTTTAAGGCACAGAGTGTAAGTCATTGAACCCAGTCTAGCCAGTGCAAACTTTATTGAATAAACAGCTGTGCTCTGTGGAGAAAGCCCCTCTGAACTAATTATCGTTTCTTCTTTATGCTTACGTTATCTGTAGTGGTCCGTAGTCACTGTATAGAGCAGCTAGTATTCATCTGTGTTTGTATGTATCTTTGTGCTTCCCAGGAGCCTGTGTGTTGATGCCCTTATTGAGCTCTCTGATGAGAACGCCGACTGGAAGCTGAGCTTTGATGAGTTCCTCAATTGCCTGAAGCCTGGCTTCAATCCACCAGAGAAGAGTGAGCTTAAAGAAATAGTTTGACATAATGTAACATAAAGTTACACACCAGTAGATACAGTATATGGATTAATTGAAAGTTTAGTATGACAGTCCTGACACCAAGCAAACTGAGCTTCAGATTTCTAATCTTCTCTGTATATTTTGAGACAGTCAGAGTTTTGTGGTAGTCACTTCAGTCTGCTCAGTCATGTGATGTCAATATATCTAGGATAAAGTTCACAGGAAGCAGGGAGAAAACTAACATTCACTACAGAGCACTGAACTCTAGAGCTTCAGACTCAAGGACACACACACACACACACATATTTTGGCTGGCTTTGTGTATTTCTATTTAGAAATTCCACATTTATCACATATATAGAGCCAGGACATTTTAAGAGAAGGGTTTGGGAAATGTTTTTATTTGTATTTTTTTTTTATCTCTGACACACATGCTTTACGAGTTCTGCTTAGTGTGGGTGTTGGCAAACTTGCTGACTATTCATTTCTAAGCTAAAACTGGCCAAAGGCATGCCACTTTAAAATTAAGTTACTGGATGAATTATGTGGCATTTTGAAATGCTGACAAGTCTTGGCCACAGGAATTGATTACAGTCCAGTGTTGTTTCTATCATAATTCTGCAACAGTCTATTATCTGTGGTCTCGGCTGAATAGTTTGTCATTTGCCTTTCTGCAGAATGTGCCTTGGAGGATGAGACGTATGAGGACGGAGCAGAGACCCAAGTAGAGTGTAACCGCTGTGTTTGTGCATGTGGCAACTGGGTCTGCACTGCTATGACCTGCACTGGTAATTTAAAATAACAAAGATGATCTTTATGCTATCTGTTCTTTTGATCATTTAATCAACTCACACATTAGACAAAATGCCCTGTGAACGTTTTCTTTTACTTTTTATCTTATCTGTTCAGATAAAACGGCAGCTGTGGATGAGTCAACAGATGCTGGAGCAGAGATGACTGAGGAGGAGTGGAACCTCCGTGTGGCTGAGCTCAACAAGCACCAGGTCTGTGTTTGAAATCTGAAAACCCCTGTGAACAATACAAAGATGTAATCAGTCACATCAGTGTCAACATGAATCAGAAACTGAACTGCATCCCAGAATTTCTCTACAGGATAAATCACCTTAGTCACAACTTTTAAAGTGTATTTCAAAGCTCGTTCACTACCCATTGCTCATAGGATTCCACTTGTAAGGTCCATGAAATATCACTGACACGAGCAATAACCCAAGCGTCTGCTTTTAGATTCCTTCAGGATATAACCTTGATTACTTGCAATGTGTTTCTGGACAAAGAGCGTTTGAAATCAAACTGCTCAGCCAGCAGAAAACAATTCACAGAAGAATTGGTAGGTGTACATTTTTATGTGACTGTGTACCAACCTAACACGGCTCAGTGAGACAGGGTAACAGCAGCTTTATGACTCCTGGCTTGGAAAGATACATCATAAATCAAAAGCTGTGAAATAAAGAAATGTTTTCGAAATTAGATCGATAAAACAAGGACTGGATATGAAATAGAGGGCAGATGGCAGAAAAAAGAGACAAATGATTACCAACATTTTCCTTTTTATTAGATAGTAGAAGAGTAGGAATGTCCTCAAGATTTGTGTTGATGACTCTGAAACATGAAGTTATATATATTCCTACGAGAGAATACCCAGTACTGCTTAAATTAATAAAGCCTGCGTTATCTAGCAGTCTTAAAGCGGCGCCAATTTCACACATTAAAGTTTATTTTTTGTTTACAGGTCTTGGAAAAGTACTACTGTATTTGTATCAAATCTTTTGTGGCTCCAAAGGGATAAAAAAATGCCTCAAATGATGTCACCTGAGTCAGCATTGGTTGGTGCTGAAGACTACATCTTGAAAATTAAAAAATGAATCTGGGAGTTTACTCAGCTCTGCTTGTGGCTAGCGGCTCGGTGCTACATTAGCAGCTACTAGCAAAACTGTGAGCGGACAATATCTCCATTCTGCGGTCCATCGTGAGTCCAACATGGTTATAAGAGTGCAATGCTCAGTCTGTTAAGCACTCCTTTAATTGCATAGCCTGTTATGAGGTAGAACAATGATAGAAACACTTGGCTACACAAGTGCCTAACAATGGGCTTGGTTTTACTGTCAGTTCACTTAGAGCATAATGTAACGCTTGTATTTGTGTGTATGAGGTTCCCAAGGTAGAACTCGGGTTCTGGCTTGAGGCCATGGCTGAGTCAGCAAGGTCATGTACTCTGTACTCCAGAAGGGCAGCTTATAATGCCACTGTAAACAAATGCGGCTCTGTGGGTACAAGTTTTGTGTGACCAGCTGTGCGCTAAATTCAGTCATGAAGTCCCTGCTTCAAAATCAAATGTTGCTTTTAATGGATAAAGCACCAAAGTTGTAGGTATACTTTTAAAAATGTTTCTTATACAAATATGTACTCACATCTTTATTTATTACTTATCTGTAATGATACACTCGATTCCATATTTCTGCCAACTTTTCTCTCTTTTCTTTCTTACAGGAAACAGTTGAGAAGATGAAGAGCAGCACAAAAGAGGTCTAAATAAGGACACAATGACGAAGAGGATGTACGTCATCACCCTTCGTCCATACTTGATTTACCTTGCGGCCATGTGTTGTTATTAAACTGACTTTTTCATGTTCCTCTGCTATGTTAATTATTATACATTTTTTACAGTGTTTAAGTGTTTGTGTTGATGTTTGTTAGATTCAGGGGCAATCAAGGAGTATTATAGGATTCCCTCGTGTTCAGTACTGTCATATTTGATTGTATTACTGCGCCCCTACACTACTATTTTTTACTACAATCCTTATATTTTTACAGTTATTATGGGGAAAAAACTGTCAAGTCGTCACAGTTTTGGAATATGGAAGTCATTGTTTGAGAAGGTAGTTAGGTTAGGAGCGTAGAGGATCCAGCTGTTGAAAGGAGGGCGCTGACCACATGACACCTGGTGCAGCGTGTTTCTCCGCACCCTTTTTACGGTCGGCATGTTGAGATAGAAGCTGGGATAAGAGGGTAAAGTTACTAGTGATTTTGTTGCCATTTAGAACTGCCACAGTGGGCCACTACTTGACCAATGCACTTCTCTTTATTTCTCTCTAGCTTTCTTTTAGTTTATCACAAGCCTGAAACTTGTTTGTATCTTACTGCTAAAGTAATAATTTTGCTGCAAAAAAGTTTGCTTCTATGTACGTTATAGATTTGAGTTGGAACTCAATCTTGGCCCCATGATATGCTCAGGCAGAGTCTCTCTGGTGCTTTTCAGTAAAACATTTCTCTGTCAGTGTCTTACATTTCAGAGAGGAAGACATAGTGATCCATCTTTCAGTGTGGAGCAGCACAACCGCACCCAGATGAGACCTGATCTGAATATAGCGTGGTGAATACTGAAACCAAAGTCTTGATGTTTGAATGATGTACAAAATTCTCCAGGTAAAACATTACTCTGGACCCAGCAACAACACTATACCTGTGCTTTCAAAATCACTCTAACAGAAGGACTAGCCTCACTGTCAGCTAAAGTAGCTTAGACGCATCAATAACTGGGTGCACATAAATTGTGTGTGTGATTGTGTGTGTGTTCGTGTGTGTGCTAAAAGTGTGATGCTGAGAGTAGTTTTGTTTGTTAAATGTGTTTATTTGTTAAAATCCTCCCTAAATTGGGAGGTTTGACAATAAAAATCAGTGCCTTAGACCTGCAACAGTATAGGTCTCTACCTTTGCCTGCTAGTATGATATGGCATAGCAAGGATGAGTGTGCTTTGCTAGAGTTTAGCAGTAAACTAGTGCTTTGTGACTCTATCCCTGATACATGTCTGTGTGAAAGTTGCATTACTAGGTTAAAGCTAAATCTTTATATTCCACTACAAGTACAGAGACTGTAAGACATATGTATGTATGCCAATAAAGCCCATACACCACAACACAGCTGTGTCACTTTGTATGTGTGTGTGCTTTTATCTGCCAAAAAGTTCAAATGTTGTGAATAAAAGAAGTTTTCAGTGGAGAATAATAAATAACTATCTGACTTAGAAAGCAGTCTGAAATAGGAAGTGTTACATAAAGCAACACAAAGTGCAGGGGACCTACTTTACTGTTGGCTGCCAGTGTAGTTTAAAATCCAATATTGAACTTTTGTCATTACACATCAGGCAATACACGGTGAAGTGGAGCACACTGAGTATATCGCTGTTTTCACTTATATTCCTTTATTTTTCTTGACTGATGTTTACTCTCTTTTGTGTTATTTCTAAATGTTGTTGTCTCGTATGTGTACTATCCTCCCTGATGTATTTTTGTTTTTCACTTTTAAGCATTCTGAATATTTGTTTGGAAAAGGGCAAAATAGATATTTATTTACTTATTTATTCTATAAAAGGGGTTATGTAAGTATGTAGAAGTATAATGTATTTTCTGGCTTATAATGTGAGCATGTAATGTCATTTTCATATACTTTATGGTCGTTTTAACAGTCAAAATGAATCTTATCTTACGAGTATATGTCATATTTGGTTTCTAAAATCTTACTCTACGCATTAACAAGTAACTACAACAGTCCCTCAAAACTACATAGTGAAGTAAATCTCAAATCCCACCTCTAAAATATTCCCTTTATAAAGTAAGATGAGCAGAATAGACCTGTGACAGTCTGATGGATAGATCTGAATGCAGTGGGATGGACTCAATTATCCTGTACCTATTTCTCATTCTATGCACATCTAAGTCAGCAGAGTATTGCATAATGTAATAGAAGAGGGGTGTTGCATAATGACATACCGAACTGGACATTAGGCAGGATGGTTCATCGGCCACTGATCACCTGTTGTTACAAGATTTAAAAACGTAATCGCCGCAATTACACACAGTCAGGTCTTGTGCAGCTATAAAAAAAAAATGTTAATAAACTACAATAAAGCTGTTACAAATGCCTTAATGAATACGTTTGCAGTGTGACCGATTGGGGGGATAACCAATCAACAGTTGCGTGGGCGGGGTTTGTCCCAAGGATTAGCCAATCTCTGAACACGGAAGAAAATATTCCCCTCAAAGAACGGCTGCATTGTAGGACGAGGCACTGCATTCAGCGTGGTGACATGTAGCTTCAGTACTAAACTACTAGTGACCTAGATTTTCACTAGAGATGTGGTTAAATGTTTCGGGCGGGGGTGCAGCAATATTTCTCTTTTTCATGGCAAAAACAGACAAGTCCTGGAGCTAACTCGCGATTTACGGGGGCGTTCACAGCCTACGGCAAAACTTCTGCAGGGACTTTGTACAGAGTTTAAATTCGGGCTAAAATTACCAAAATGGAGATCCACGAAGGGGCAGCGGCGGCGGGCGACAGCGTGCTTGACTTCTCCCGTTTGAGTCTGAACACTTTTAGCACTGACAGTATCAGCGACGAGAGGAAAAGGGACACCAAACAACTCTACCTGAACTACAACCGGTTAGCCTCGCTGCCTTCGTCTGTCAGCCTTTTCTGCAACCTCGAGTTTCTGGACATCAGCAACAACGGACTGTCGGCCATCTGTGAGGGCATTACGCGACTGACCAGGCTGAAAACCCTCATAGCCAAGAACAACCGCCTGGACGAGTTCTCGCTGCCCAAAGAGTTCGGCTCTCTGCAGCTGGAGGTGTTGAACTTTAGCGGGAACAGATTTGAGGAGATCCCACTTCAGTGTATGAAACTGCTGCGTCTGCAGTCGCTTTCTCTCGGCGGAAACAGACTGAAAAGTATACCTGCGGAGATAGAACATTTAACCAGGTGAGTTAGGTCATAGAGGTTCATAGCTGACTCAAACAGTAATGGCTGGCTTACTTAGCACCGTTGTTAGAAGTCCGTTTAAGTAACAAGGCCAGGTATCCAGCAAGGGGGGGGGGGCACTTTTAATTAAATAGTTAATTAAATAGTTGACGTTAACTGCCTCTCTTTGTAGCTAATGCTAGTTGGCCGTTTAATCGGCTGTGAGCCAAAAGCAAGTTAGCGCAAATACATTCTAATAAATGTACGAAGACAGCAACTAAATATCAATTCCCAGTGTGTTATTTTGTAGTATGAGCACACCTCGCAGTACGTTATCGCGTTTATACCAGTGATAGTTACCGTTATCCAGGCTGCGGTCGGTGGTTAGTTTCAGTTAACTGACGCATTTAACCCAAGAGCTGTTGCTATGGTTACCTTCTATTTTATAGTACCTGCTCTCGGATCTCCAGCTGACAGTTGCTAACAGTTACCACCATCCAGTCCGAAAGTGTGATCAAATTAGAGCTGAAATGATTGAGTGAGTCAGCTGACAGTGAATAGAAAACATTATTGATCAAATAATTGAGAACAATAGTCAGCAGATGCATCGACAGCAAAAATAAGCATTACTTGCAGCTTATATTAAATACAATGTAGTAGAAGTGGTATGAAGCAAGTGACATATTCTGAGCATACACAGTCTTGTGTTGTCTCTCCAACCCTGTCAGCCTGTTGCCAAACATGAGTCTCTACTTTCTGTCTATTTAAAATGTTGGGTTCCTCCCTGGTTTGTATTTCCCAGAGTCAGCTTTTATTGTTGTAGTTATTATCTCTATGGCGTATCTGTTGCATATGAAAAGCTTTTATCAGTTATAACATGCAGTACCATAAAACCACTTGAATCACACTTCACCTGCTGTTTCACATGAGGAGCCGACCCACCGTTTTTTAATCTGACAACAATATTTGTAAATAGGGCAGCGTGATATGCTAAAAACATCATTGCATCATTTATTCTGACGGATATTGCGATAGTGAGGGATAACTGTTTTTGCAACACAAATGTTTTATCATGAGTCATGGTGATGTGACATTTTTGGAGGTATGTAGGAAACAGGATTTGTAGGCCAGGGCATCTCTTTAGAACTGCAGTACTTGTTTTGTTACACATTTGACCTTTATCGAGAAATTGCAGCTTCTGTGATTTGGATATCGTACTTGGCCATATTGCGATTTATTATAATAATGTGATTTAATTGTGCAGCCCTGATTGTAAAACCGTCTACAGTACCCATTACACAGTCACACCCAGGCAAACTGAAGCATTTTTGAAAATAACATTTAAATGTGGTCAGTTGTTCATGTTGTTGTCCCCTTTTTTTTAATGGGTTCAGTGGTATTTACTACATTACTACCACATTTACAGCTGCGATTCATTTCCAGTCAGTTTGTCCTGTACACATCATGATTCGTAGTGTGTGTGCAGGATAATTGTTCCTGAGCTGTTCCAGCAACTATTTTGACCTGGTATTGGCAGTTTCACATAGATGGAGCGCTTTGTCATCGACTCTGTCAAAAACCTAAATAGTAGTGAAATGTAGAACATTTTCAAACTCATCAGCACATTCAAAACGACAAGCAATGGTGTGCATTTAGCAGCGGCAGGCAGTTTGGAACATTTGGAAGGTGTGTGTTTGCTGTAGCGTGAGAAAAAAAATCTTATCATTTAGTTTAACAGTAGCAGGTCACAGTGACACACTACCAGGCCAAAGATCAAACGTCCAAGGCTTCGATGTCTCCAAGCCTCCTTACTTTATCACATGCAAACAAATGTGAGTCACTACATTTGTAACATTCACTAATGATTAAAGTGAGTAAGTGGCGGAGGATGAAAAGGACAATTTAACTTGTAATCATGTGTAGCCAGCCAATATTCATTTGAGGTTATCTTGATTTTCTACATAGGCTTCATTTTTGCTACCTGGAACAAACATCTCTACAAATCAATAAACATTAAGTTTAAAGATAGATATAAAGCACAAAAGCACTGTATTATAGGAGCAACTAACAACAATTACACTTTCAAGTGTATATGTATGGAGGTGAGTTTTCTCACAATTAAAGTTACATTGAATTTTTCATAAAAGGATTCATTGGTGCTTGTTATTATTATTATTTTTTCTATTGTTTTATTTCCTTGTATTTTAATTAAAATACACAAGAAGCCTTAAGCCAAAAAGATGGTATTTGTCTGATGTATTTGCAAGCACCTTCATTAAGTGGAATACTGCACATTAAAAGGCTAATCTCCAAGCTCTATTTTTTAAGTGCAGCCTGTGTCACATTGGCATTTTGACACGTTTCAGTCAGAAAATCCCATTAAGCTACTTCATTTTCAGGATCCTGCTGTTGTGCACGTGGACTCACTGTCACACCTGAAGACCCGTCATTAATGTCATTAGTAACGCCTGTGCTTTTCCTACTTTTCCATTCTGTCGAGTTAAAAACACCTGCTGTGAAAAAAGTGTCATTCTGATACCTGGATTGTTTTCACTTTGGCATTCAGTTCAGTGTCAGAAAGCAAGTAAGTAAACTTTAAAAGCAGGGGTCTCGAGCGTGGTGCCCAAGGGGAGCTCGTCGCCTGTGAGGTGTCCACAGAGCAGGTTCCATTGTGTCAAAACATTTAAATGCATGACATGCTAATACTAATATGTTTTTATTAACTTAAATACATATTGAGACTAACCTTAGTTTTATGTTTCATGTTCTAGGGCTGCGTATCGGCAAGAATCTGTCGATACAGAATATACTGTGATTTCTTTTCAGTGGGATCTGCATTTATATTTATCACAGTCTCTCTAACATCCAACATTAAATCCCTTAGTTTACATTACAACACTGTTATCAAGCAGATGGGGGTTTAAACACCAAAATCAACAAAATTGCCCTTTCTTTGGTGTTCACTCTCTGTGTCCCAGAGGTGGACTGGTTTACCTTGATGAGTAATTTGACTCTCAGTTCATATCACTGGATTTACCACAACTGGAGAAAAAAAATAACAAATTCCAAATCAAATTGGTTCAAATCTCTATCAATATTACTAAAGGTGAAAAGACACACCACCATGTTAGTCTGTTAAACGTTCAATTTAACATGGATGTTAGTGAAGTATAGAGTAGCACTGCTGACAATTTTCTCCCTTTAGGTAACCTTCACTCTCTTCAGAGACTGGACACCTCAGCACTAACGCATACAGTCTAACCATGGGTGAATACTCTAACTGGATAAGATAAGATAAGATATTCCTTTAATAGTCCCACAATGGGGAAATTCCAAACATCCAGTAACATGATATAATACGTCCCATTTTTAAAATGTTCCTACTTTCAAACTTAAATTGTGAGCTTTGTGCAGTATATTGTCCCCGATGCACACTGTGACTAACCATTCTCAATATCTGGTGTCTGATTTGTGTCTCTGTCAGTGAGAGCAGTGAGCAGACCCTGAATGTCTCAGTTCCCTTCACAGAGGGGGCTTGCTCAGTGCTCAGCCACCAAGGACAGTATAATGGCTTCCTGTCTCGCAGTCGCTGTGTCATCAGTTCCAGCAGGCAGATGGCCTGACAGCTTACTTTCGCTGACCAGCCATCCATTGCTCTCTCCCCGTTTCTCTGTTTCACTCCCGATTACCCCCCTGTGTACTGCATACGGCCATTAACCTACCAGGGTCCTTTGTTATCTTAATACAACAAACCCATCAATTTACTTGTCTGCTAAACTTTACTCAAAGTTGTAGTTTTCTGGTCATCACAGTAATCAAGGTTATCTTTGTTAAACTAATACCAATATCCATTATTCTATGTATAATCTTTGCATACAGACACTTTCCCTGCGAGTGGATGTGTGTACTATACATATATGTCCTGATGATCTGATTATTTTAGACTTCTTGTTTTATCTCTTTACCTCCGTCTTTTATCTTTTGGGTGATTGTAAGCATGGCCTCACAAACACATTTTGACACACAGAAACACAATCACATGCACGCAAACTCTATGGCAGCCATGTGTCTTTAGCTCCCCCTTGTGGTGTGTATTAGGTTTACTCCCTCTGCTTTGTTGGCTAGAGAAATTCCCTCTTATAGAGTCTTTACCTTTCATGTACAAACATGGCTACCTTGACTTTGACCCTAACCCTAACCTTTAAAAACCGCACTTTGATAGATTGGGACCACAGCTATTCGTACTGAACAATATAAGATTCAATACTTGAGTTTACCGTAGCAAATTAAAAATGCACTCTTTTCTGCCCTTTTTTTTTTTCTTTTAGTCTGGAGCTGTTGTATCTGGGCGGGAACCTCATCTCAGCCATTCCTCCAGAAGTGGCTAACCTGCCTTACCTCAGCTACCTGGTCCTATGTGACAACCGCATCCAAAGTGTCCCCCCACAGCTCACCAGGTAACCGCACATACCTACGCCACCAGTATCTTAACCAGCGTAGCCTTCAGTAAAACCACACCGTTACAGATGACAGCACACCGCAGCACAGCAAGATGTCTATGTGCAATTGCTCTGCGTGGATCAGATAGCTGCACATTCCTGTAGGCGTGTTTTGTAGGTGACAGCATTTTTAAAGTGCCTCTCTATCTCACTCCAGGCTCCACTCACTGAGATCTTTAAGTCTCCACAACAACTTGCTCACTTACCTACCGAGGGAGATCCTCAGCCTGGTACACCTGCAAGAGCTCAGTCTCCGTGGCAACCCACTGGTGGTGCGCTTTGTCAAGGAGATGACCTACGACCCCCCATCACTGCTAGAGCTGGCAGGTCGTACTGTTAAGAGCCGAAATATTCCCTACTACCCCTGCGACCTGCCCTCAAACCTGCTGCGGTACCTAGACCTGGCCAGCAAGTGCCCCAACCCCAAGTGTGCTGGTAAGCATTAAACTTTTGGACTCACAAAATTACAAGATTACAAAAGAATCCATCTTGCCAGGCTTCAATCTGTGCGTTCGTGTTCAGTACAGTTCATTGAAAGTAGAGCAGAGACTTTGGTAAGAGTTTGGCTATGTTGGTTCGTTGATCTGACTGGATGAAGTTCACCCGTGACGGATGATGATAAACAGATGGTTCATCCAATCACTGCAGAGTATTTTAGCAGTTTAGCAGGTTAATGAGCAACCCCAGGTGTCATCAAGCAGACCAGAGCCTCGCAACCTCAACTCTACCAAAAGACAGACTTTAAAGAGTCACAAGAGCGAAGCTGAAGCACATCATTCACACTAGTAGTAAAGAAGAACAAACACACAGAGGAACAAACAAAGACAACATGCAAAAAAGGAGAGAGAGAGAAGAGGAGAGGCCAAACCCCCTGGAGAACGAAGATCCAAATCCAAACATCTTCAATGAACATGAATATAAACTGCATGCAACTGTGACTCCTTAATCCTGTGTACACGTCTGTAAATGCATACATGCATATTAATGGCTGGAGTATCTGCTCTAATAACTCAAACGGGACTCTCAATTGGCTCTTTTAACACGTGACGTTCACTGCGCTTCTGCTGTGGCAGAGTTCTGCAAATGCGTGCGGCGATTTGTCTGTGTGCCTCAGTAGCCCCGCCCACTTTTGTCTGACAAAAGCCCTGAGGTCGTAAGTGACTTTCATTAGTTTGGAAAATGAGCACAGACCAGGGTCATACAGCCTCAGAGACGGATGGAGGCAGTTTGACGACAGGGAATACAGCACCATGGCGATTTACAGCGGCTCTGGGGATGACGCCGGGTTCAGGCAGGGGGACAGAAGAGTTGCAGGGAGGAGTCAAACGGAGGTTATCCGTCCACCAGTAAACAAATCGCAGAGAGCAGCAGGAGGACATCAGAGGGAAAACCAGAAAGAGAGAATAAAGTTTAAAGTTGTGTTTTTTTACAGTAATCGGTGAGGCCCGGCCGGAATTTAAAGTCTCTCCACGCACACACAAAATTCACCACACTTATTTGCAGATCTGATTACACACATAAGGATTGAGATACAGTTACACAACTCTCCGCACACATTTGTAAATAGTTTTGCTCTAATTATGGCCCCATACCCAATCTCTAAGTCGAGAACCACCGTGATAATATCCTGTGTTTGTGTTTTCCCTTTATGGCCTGGTTGTACAGTCTTGCTTACACCTGAGTTCTGACAGTGGTTTATGTATGAAAACTGTTGTACTGTCACTGACCTGCAACTTGAATCTGACTTTGTTTTCCCCGTCACTCTTGCCTTTTTCCAGGCGTCTACTTTGATTCATGTGTGCGCCACATCAAATTTGTGGACTTCTGTGGAAAGTACCGGCTGCCCCTCATGCACTACCTGTGCTCCCCAGAGTGCACCTCTCCCTGCAGCTCCAACCCGCAGAGCGACGCAGAGTCAGAGGACGAGAGCAGCGTGCCCGCTGACCGCCTGCAGAGGGTGCTTCTGGGATAGTAGTCACTGTGTTCAACAATGAACTTGGCTGTCAGACTTATACAGACTACTACAGATACTAAAAGACATACACTCACACACACACACACACACACAAACAGTAATACTGTTTTACAGACAGTGGCTGTATGTAACACACAAAATGTGAGGCCACGGTTCTTCCTACTGCTGCCCTGAAAACATGTTTTTGGCACGGAATCCGTTCCCTCTCTCACAATCTCACCCCATCAAAGTGCTGGTCTCATGGTCGAGCATAGGAGGGCAGTAAAGCTCAGTGAAGACTGAATGAGCCGCAGGATTCTTTTCCTGTTCAGGGCAGCGTATTGTATCTTTCATACGACACTTGGTGGGTTTTAGTAGCTATAGCACATCATACTGCATATACTGGAGGTTTGGGTATGAACAGTGTCCCAACTGCAGGTGATACAGGAGCCAGCTTTCATTTAAACGTCTTACCAAGTGAGAATCAAAGTTGCTATGCAAACTGGGGCAAGGTTTTGGGATTTTCTAATTATTTCTGCAGAAACTATGACAGCTAAATTGATTGAGTACAGTGTGTGAGATGGCCTTATTTACACTGCGTGTGGTCCTGCTGGGCAAACTCTTGTGCAATAAAGCTGTCCCACACAATATTGAAAGATCAAGGTTTAATTATTTTTGCCTATTGCACACCTGCCCTGAAAAGTTTTGCCATGATAACATAGTTGTTTTAAATTAACCCAGAATATGGGTTATGTGAGTCTGTGGAAGTGAGCTTGTCCAGGCTTATTCACAGGAAGTGGATGTGGGGTGGACCAGGGGAAACCATTCACAGTGCTAGCACAGGAACAATACCTATTCAGCGAAACACAGTGGCAACCTTCTTGTTATGTGGAGAGTTGTCGGTTTTCTCTGAGCTAAAGAATATAGATCTGTGGAAATGGTGTCCATAGCCAGAGAATTATATATATATATATATAAATATATATATATATATTTTTCCAATTTGAGACAGAAGCTCCTTCATTTCTAACAGGAAATTAGTGTTTCTGTTCCTGGTTACATCTCTGCTTCATCTATCTGCTTGTTTGGAAAGCAAGGAGATCGTAAAGCCTCCCAGACAGTTTGTGTCTGTTAGTGAGAAGGAAAAACTCCCGCAGGGTTCACATCAGACGCTAGTGTTCAGAAAACAGAAGAACGCTCTTCTATGTTACAATAACACCTATACTAGAGCATTTAGGTAGTTTACTAATGGTGACTTCTAACACGGTGACATCGAAGCACGAAGAAATGTGATATATGCACCCAGAAATGTGACAAGATTAACATTATGAATAATAAAGTCCTTTATTGAGTGATTTTGTACTTATCTGCTTACAGTAAACAGAAAGAGAAAAGGTAACCTTTTTATAACAAAATCAACTGTTATAGAAATCCCTTTTTTGTTAAACAGACTACATATTTAAATAACCTGCAGAATAGATAGCACTTAAAAAAGAAAATATATTGAGGTATATTAATTGTATGTACTTGTACCCCATTCAGATAATGTAAGTAGACTGTACAGTATATAATAACTAATAAAGACTGACTGTTAAAATGTGTTTGTATTGGGACTTTTTGTGATTTGTGTGAGTTTGAGTGTTGATTTGGGGAATGTAGAAAACATTTTCATTTGACTGTTTACCATTTTAAAGTTTCCATTGTATTAGTTTTTTAGTGCCGTTGCTAAAAGACAAGGTATTTGTTCATAGAATGTGGTTTTTTTTTGTGTACAAAAGATGCACAACTACTGGAGAGTTTGAAGAGTTTTTGTGTGCGTGTTTACATGAACCAGTCCGACCATTTTGTAGTTTGAATGTGTCCAGGTTTCATTTGCATATGAAGGTGAGTTCATTATCGAGGCTGAATACTGAGAGACCTTTTCTGTAACCCCCAGTACGAAGGGATGCCAGGGCGAGTGCATTCTGCTTCGCACAATCTGCTAATCCCTCAACGTCACCTGCCAAGAGCCACTGGCTACTTTGTTTCCTCTCCTCTCGTCTCTTTTCACGCTTTCTGTTCCTATCTCAGCGTCTCATTCAATTTCTTTTCACCTCACTGTTTCCTTTCAGCCTGGCTGGAAAGAATGATGCTTTGAGTTTCACATATTTTGTTTGTTTTGAATGGTCTTTGACCAGGTCACAGCTGGGTTCCAGTGTTTTTTCTGTTTTCTCTTTCGCTATAATTTAAACACGTGTATGTAGGAACTGTCTACCAACAGCAGGCACCTAGGAAACTCTCTAACACATTGTGTGGAGTTATATTACATCTGTCTTACGTGCACATGTGCTCACACACTGCATGCTTTGTGACACAGGAGGATGCTGTCAGAAATGCAACCTGAGATGCGACTCTGATGCAACCATGATGAACTGGAAGCAATGAGTTGTGACTGGCAGATGAGGAGGGTAGATGTGTTCAGTTGAGTTTCGCTCAAGGTCATAGAACATAAAATGAGTCTTGAATTTGGGTCTTGAAAACCAGGATTCAAGTGGGATTGGTCACAAAGAAGAGAGATGCTGTTTTAGCTGCCTGCAATTCTGCAAGGTAAATGTGCTTCTGTGTGGTCTTATTTCTCATAAGCCTTGTTTTCATCTCTATCATTTTTAAGGATTACATCCATGTAAATCATTTTTTTGGTTGTGGAATTTAATGGGGGCCACCAGTCTCTTGACCCTTCACAGTGGCACCGTGAACAATGCATACAGTATTGCCGGTAATCAGCAGATCAAAGAGCAAAGTGCTTTGACATGCAGGATCTTTGATACTCTAAGCCTCTTATTGCCCTCAGTCAGAGGCATGCCAGGTTATATCAGCTCGGTTATAGCCAGTGCCAGAAGTCACACATGACAAGTTTCAAATTCATACACAGTTGAGCCTTTACACACGACAGACACACACTGCAGACACCCTTGCAATAATCAAAGTTACACTGCTAATCCTACGAGGAGAAAGTCTGGTTGGAGGTGGAGGTGGTTACAGGGGAAAAAAAAGATGTGGTGGGCGTTTAATCATCCACTGCAGTGTAACAGTGTTTGATTGCTATCATGAATAACTTCTTGACCCCACATCATTCCTTTATTATTTATTATTATTATTATTATTATCTCCACAGACTGTACCAGCTGACATTGTGATAACATCACAATGTCGAAAAATAATTTGTGTGTCGGCTCCATTAATTCGGATCTGCTCCAAAATTTAACGTGTTCTTACTTGGCCAGTGCTACACCTTTCCATCAAGTTTCATGCATATCAGGTTTTTCTGTAATCCTGGCAGACAAACAGACAAACCCACAAATGGCACTGAAAACATAACATCCTTGGCGCAGGTAATAATTGTCACGTGGACAACTGCAAGTAAATGCTAATGTTTCTGTGTATCGGTTGGATTGTTAACAACCACGTTCATGTTGATGTTAATGCTGTGCCTCCAAGTGGCCAAAAACTCAACTAACACAGGTTATCAGTTCTGGTATAACTGCACATGAGTTTATATCTACACCATCAGCTTTTAAACTAGTTTCAACTCATTCCCAGGCCCACCTATCACAGCAGGTATTGTATCATCAGTTGCTTTGCGGCTTTTTCAACACTTTCAACACAATTTTTGAAAATAGAGTGAGAAGACCCTACACTGATCATGATCACTGCTTTTGGTAGAAACATCATGACAAGAGCCTGCTGGGCAGCTTTGATCCAGCACTGCTAATCCTGGTCCATAGCAACGCTGCAGGAGAAGCCGCTGCGTTCCAGAGAGGGATTTGTCTCTGGGTATGTTTGTGGGCAAACCTGGGCATGTCACAGGGGAGCGTCCAGGCTCGGGCAAGGACAGGAGTGGGTGATGCTTCACACACACAGAACAATGCATTTCCACCCACACAGTCTTAAACGCTTCAGAATGGTGGGACTCGCTGGCAATGTGGTCAGGTGTTGAATCACAGCTGCAGATGCTTCCATGTCAGGAAATGGTGGTGCTGCCTGTCAGGAGTGGTTCAACAGGAAATAGTGTGTCACATGGCTTAAAAGCTTTGCTTGTTATTTATTTTGGTTGGTGGACTTCCAGCTGATACAATATGGTAGCCCAGAAAGAGATAGCGACTGTTAGTGACACCTGCATTTGGTAATTATAACATCTTAATGTTAGAGTTGATCCCTGGTAACCTCAGTAGAACGACATGTGTCCCGTTTCTTCCAGTTCACCCTCCCTGCCAGCTTCTGTTCTTTGACTCATGCTTTTTCAGTGTGCCCAGATGAAATATTCAGGCTCCTGGTAATCTGAGCACCGGTGCAGTCCACCTGCTGCTGGTGCAGTCTATCTTGAACCTGATCTTGAGGGAAACTTGAGAGTGATTGCCACGCTTTGGGTGTAACAGAGCTGGCAGCAGTGTTTCAACACACAAGTGAAAATGTTGAGTTTACAAGCTACTGTCTCATTTTCTTCTAGAGTTTGCTATTTCTGTGCCACATGGTTTTTAATCTTTGATATGATGGCTGGTTTTTGAACACATAATATGATTGTAGAAGCCACATTAACAGAGGATCCCACCAGTTACAGAACCGGCGTTCATTAACTGAAGAGCCTGTTGTCAGTCTTCTAATGTACACTTAAATGTCCTTTTTTAAGATGGCTGGTGGTGAACTGTTGTCAGTAAGTCCTTCTCTCTGGACCTAGCCTGCAATCATGCAGAAGTCTCCATTCAGTACAGTGTGTCTGATACAGAATAACAATTTAAGTGACCTGAGTGAGTGTATATTTGATTGATCTTCCTAATGTTTCTAGCCTTTTCTCATCTTAAGCCTAAAGCCCTTTCTCATCTTCATATAGTAAAATCCTACATAAAGATACTTTAGTAGCTTTAGTTTTGAATAAACTTTTTATATTCTACTGTACTTTCTAACTCGATGTTAAACAGAATTAAACTGGGTTGTGTTTTAGGCCATTGATAAATCGTCTTTTATGGAACGGGCATACAGTATGTCCTGCAGTGATAAGAAGAGCACCACCGTGCTGGCTTTTATTACAAAAAAGAGCTTTATATTGTTAAACTTATGGTTGACTATAATGTGAGCTCCCTGTTTTTGAAAATACAATTTATCACTGTGTTTCAGTGCCTAAAGAAGTTTGCGTTTCAGCCCAGAGAGAAACGCCAATTTTCTCAAAAACAAACATTTAAAAAGAAGAACAGTTTCCAGTCTGATCTGAAGTGCATCCAGGAGAATAAAATCAATTTGTGAATGTGTGTGTGTGTGTGAGTAAGTGAACGGGGGTGTGACGACTGGATGAATGAATATGTACATTTTCTCCTCTTCTGTAATAATCTCTTGTGCCTCTGCTCCTCACTTACAGCTGTCAGTGGTGGTGACACTCCCTCATCAGGAATGACCCTGTGTGTAGGCTCACACTATAAATCTCTGTGACATCTTAATAACACCTTTATGCCTCTTATGGCTGCCGGAACAAATGCAGAAATATTTCTGCTGCCTCACTGCATTCAGACAGAAGATCTTTTATTTTTTTGTTGGTATTTTGATATGATTTACCAGCCAGCAGTCTCTCTGCCATCCCTGGTGGAGGCTTGCTTTTGAAAAACAAAATGGACATGTGTGTTTCTCTTTCCATTAAAACAAGTGCTGTTATTCAGTGTAGCCTATTTATTTGCACTGTGTGGACGCAGAGTGTGCCGCCCTGTCCCATATGCCACCCAGTCCCCTGGGGCTGCTGCAACATGTTGCACACACTGTCACAACCCTCCTGCACCACATGGGTCACATCACACTCTGAAACCCATTTGGTGGGCAGTTGGAGCTGGAAAGCTTACAAAAGAAAGAGAGAGAGAGAGAGAGAGAGAGAGGGAGGGAGAGGAGAGAGAGGGAGGGAGAG